AAGTTTTGTGCAAAAACGCATGATCGCTCCTGCTCGCCTGGTGCGTTCCAGCCGGGATTAACATAACAAATTCTTTGTTAAGCTCTCTCCTGCCCAACGCTTTTACGCCACTTGCGTCCTCATGTAATTCAGTGTATCTGCTGGTCCAATGAGGTTTCTTCAGAAACCTTCTTCCAATGGTCCATTTGCACACGCATCGCCTCTTCATGCCCATAAACCTGCTTCACCAGCGCAGTGTTATCGGACAGCTCCAGAATTCGATACCGAGCTTCCGATGTGCCTTCATTGCAGCCAGCACCAGCACCATCTCACGCACTTTGGACTGGCAAGTTTTAGTATTCTGTTTATCGTAATAAATCTCAGCCGCTGCTTGCACTTTCTATACATTTTTAATGACCTACAAAAGAAATGCTAAAAGCCTTGTCCGGTGGTCCATACCTCATCGGTCCTTCTACACCGTCTAGAACTGCCGGTAATTCGGGTCCATTGCAAGCAATAGGAGAAAACGGCTTTCAATGTGTTATTGGCGAACAGTAAAATTTGGACACTTCAGATCTTATACAACCTTTGTATATACAGTTCACTGGACAAGGGAATAGCTGACAACTGGGTTTTTTCTCCCACATTTGATTAAGTGTCACCTTTTCCTCCTCCGTACACTTTGCCCCACTCTCGCTACCGCCGTAATCTTCGCAACTCCACGTCCCACCCTCCCCCGTCCACGTCCTCCGGCTTATGCAGACTCGTTCCCAGTCCATCGTTTACCAAACAGGCTGCCTGTACGTAATTCCTTTTTGCAAACAGGTGTTTGCGGAGTGAGCGCCAATGACGTCTTTTCTTTTTAGGAATTATTGCAACTCGGTACATGGGCTGTGGCAATAGCACACCACCAGTAGCTGCTGTTTCCCCGTCCGGATAAATGATGAATCTGCAATAAATGTGGGCACCAGCCTTTTATTCGTTTGGGTGTCAGTGACTAGGAAATGAAAATTGCCTCCCACTTCTCGTTTTCACATAAATAAACCGAGAGCAAAAAAGACAAAGAAGTCGGGAAACTTTGGTCTCTGACAGCTCAGGCCTTCCCTCGCCCCCGTACCCGGCCACTTTTCAAAGGAATCCAGGAACAAAGCACGAGAAAAAATACCATGGTTGAGTGAGCATTCCTGTCCGGCCGCAAGAGCCCCGTTCCTCAGCTGTTGTCAACATGAACATTAGTCATCCTGCTTTTTATTATTCGTTTCCGCGGAAAAGCAATGTGAAAACAGAATTTAAACTCTTTTTACAGCGAGAAAAAGCCGGCACTGATAAGCTCGTGATTCCGAGCAGGCAACCAATACAAGGAACACTCACGGCCTCAGCTGATGCCTCTCGCGGCTCTCCGGCGTCAACTCCTCCACGTACGCGCCGACGGACAATATATGCTGCATTTGGAAACCCTGACGGCTTTTTTATTAGTAACAATGTACGTGATGTGTACACAAGGACAGCTGACAATCCGCTGCACGAATAAATGAACAGGCATTGAGCAGGCGCTAAACCAGAATCACGGACCATTCTCACCCGCATCACTCTCGTGAAGACCCACAAACTTTAGAAACTGCACTGCAAAACAAGGCTACATCGTCAACGTTTTGGAGGCACACTTCAGCTTTCACCCTACATAACATTTCGAAGGAACGAATCGCTACTGAAGCTCCGACTCCAACAACCAAGGGTCAACATGCAATAAGCAATATAGAGCCATGCATTATCAATTCTGATATGCAAATATTGGCGCACCAAAAAAATCACGATTTTTGACTGCTCGGATTCTGATTCGTTGCTCTGCTGCATGTAGTGTCATCATTTCATAAGATCTAGATGCATTCGTCTATTACAGTAATAATAATAGTAAAAATAATGAAAAACGGTAAAAAATTACAAATCTTAGAACAAACGAAAAGAGAGAGAAAGGCTGAGCTTTTCGTAAAGAGAAACAAGGAGAAGGGCAAGGGGGACAGAGAGAGAGACAAATAATAGATACTTTTTGAAAAATGCTAATAAATGCGCGGCTAGCTTCATGATCATTCAGAGTGATTGTTTTTACAAATGGTACAGACCAAAATGAACATGGAATGTCTGGCGGTGGGAGTTCGCACTGAAAGAATGATCGCTTTCTCCCGGGAAACCCTAAAATCTGCTGGACGATTCCCGGCGTCCCAATGCAGCACGCGAGTTTCAAAGCGTTCTCACAGCCACAAAATAGTTGCTCTCAGCAGTCGACTGCAGTTCTCCATGGCGATTCACTGACCCTATTATGTACAGTGCATTTTCTGCACTACTCCGTGTATATATATATATATATATGTATAGGTTCTCTAGCATGCGCTACGTATCTTTTTGGAAAGGTTCTTGCCTCAACGTTCGCTTCGAGCCCTAAGACCGGAAATAAATGCCTGCTGCTCCCACCTCCCTCGCACCTCGCAGGCACGGGAATTTCTGTGCTTGTGCAGAACAAGTTAACAGCTTACACTTCGGTTCTTTCTTATACAATTTTTGCGGAGGTGGCAAGTCAACGTAGACGACTTTTTAGTAATTCGAACCAACGATAATCATTACTGTATCACTGTTGCAGAAATGCTACTACTCGGCGTTGTTTCTAGGCATACAGCAAGTGACTGGAGAGGTGGAAAAGCACGAGATGAAGGATGACCCGTTTCGCTCCTGACCTGTCCTTCTTCCTTCCGCTCCTCCACCTTCTCCTCCTCCAGCTCATTGGCTCTCCCACCTTCGAACTTCCTACCGTTTGACCGATCTGTTCTCATTTCACAGCGACTCACAGCAATATATGCAGCAGAACCACTAGTAATACCTGAATTAGAAGTGGTAGCAGTGTCTGTAGCAGGAATTCTGCTACAAATATCAGGAGCAACAGCAGCAGCCTGCTGCACCATCAACAACGGCGATGACAAGGACGACGTCGACGGCCACTGCGCCGCCATCTCAGCGCTCGATTTGCTCCTGTTATCACTAACGCCCCGGCTGTCAGCAGGCACCGGTTCACAGGGTACGGGCACATAAACCACCGGTCTGCAGCCAGGACTCGAACAGCCACTTCGGCTAGCGTCCTTTGCCGTCGAAATCCAGCGCAGATGCGAGGAGAAGCAGCCATCTTCAAGCTGTCGACAGTCCGTCGTCAGCAGGCAATTCTCGCCCCGAGGCACCTGTATCTCCGGACACTGGCGCGCCTGGGCCGTGGCTCCGCCGGTCGGCCTCTCGATACCAGTGGCAGTGTTAAGTCTGTTCCGTCCGTAAGTAGCCTGCGCTCCACGAACTCGACACGACAGTGATGAGCACGTGAACGATGCACGCATATCGAATGGATTGCAGTTGGGCGGCGCTCGCACCCATCGCTCGTTCTCCTCCTTCGATACCAGTGCACCCTGAAAAATAAATTATTTAAGGAAAATCTTTCATTCCTCCGATCAGTCAGTCCATAACTCTAAGCGGAGTGACCGCTGTTGTGAGCACGCCAAGAACCTTAAATGTTAATAAAAGCTGGATTAGTGAGTAGAACTTAAACCTAGGCTGGAACGCACCAGGCGAGCGATTATGCGTTTTTGCACTTTTCGTACCGTAGCAAGATCGCAAGGAGTCAATGTAGCTAACCCTATGATTATGCGTTTTTGCACTTTTCGTGCCGTAGCAAGATCGCAAGGAATCGAAGTAGCTAACCCTGTGAGATACTGGCCCTCGAATTTTGGAGATGTTAATTTATGCAACTATGTGGTATGTCAGTTGTAGGTGTCGACTTCAGTGACCCGACAAATGGAAAGTTGCCTGACCGCAAAAAAAGGCCACACTAGAAGAGTTAAGC